TTTTCATTTTGAATCAAACATTTCCTGTGTCATTTGTGCCAATTTGTAATGGACATCACTGATATGTAGACATTGAAAGCATAGCATATTCGCTATATACTGATGTTGCATATTAAAATCACTTGCAGGTTAAAAAGGATGGCCGCCGGGGTTGCGTCCAGGTCTATAGAGGGTGCCATCTATTGAAATCCAGTTTTGTCAAGCGAACCTCAGGAATTATGTTACAAGATGGCAACTTACTGGAGGCCCTGGGCGAAATATTCAATGTATCTTGAGGGGGTAAGCCTCTCTCTGATGACCTCTCACTGATTATTTTAGGTGTCACTTCCCATGTGCATCAAGCATAATAATTTGACTGATTTCACTGATGGAGACTACTCAACCGTTTTCACATCACATCACATCACTTTACCCATGCAATTGTACGATGTGTCTAAAACTATATTTTATGGTATGATTTGGCTATCTATGGTATATTTAAAAAAAAAAATATATGTTTAGGTGTTTTTACTTTTCTGTTTTTAAATGACTGCTTTCTCAGAATATATTATGGTTTGTCTGAGTCATCATCCATGAAAGTGACTTCATTCATTGTACTATAATGTAAAAGAAATTCACCATTATCAAGCAGCTGGCATAATATTGTGCATGAAAACACCTGATAATTTTATTGTCCAAAATATCAAATATAAAAAGGGGAAAAAATTGAAAAATTTGATTCTTCAGATAACATGCACTATTACAACATCAAGTGAACAGACACCATTTTCTTTTTTGTTATTTACATCAATTTGATGTCAAAGGTCACAACAGTTATACAATATTTATTTTGTGTTTTACTGCAAATACTTAAGTAGACCCAGGAATGCAGTATTTTGAATGTTGACAATTTCGAAAAATACACTCATTAAGCAATCAAATGATTTTATTACAGGTCGTCAAATGTATGCTGATGTAATACTAATTATGACCCAACAAATAACTATGTAAATTTAAATCATGTGTAATAAATAATTTTCATATCCCACAAATGCCATAGGATAGTATTCTGTTATCAAAGTACTGGAGACAAATATTTATTAGGAGTGGACCAATAGAAACTCTGGGTGAGATACTACGCAAAACATCCTTCCTCCCCCCATGTTGAATTTGCTATATTTTTTTTTTTAATTTTGTGTTTCACTGTTTTCCCTCAGAAATAAGCATAAAGAAATTATGTTATTAATCTCACAGGATTTTTTTCCTGTACAATTTTTTTCTTCAATTCTGCCATTGCCTCAATCCCCGGAGTTTCTATAGGTCAACCCCTAACAGTATATAATTCCTAAGTCAGTGGGAGGTTGGATATATAAATACAGTTGATTGTAAAGCGATTCCTTATTACACTTACACGTAATTCATCCTTGCTGAGGTTTGCAGGATCCATGTTCTATTTTGTCCATCTTATGATTAAGGATAGATCTGTCTAACAGTTTCTCATAAAGGAATTTCAGGCTTACCGGTATTTGTAGTAACTAGGTTTTATAATTTTTACCCCAGCTGCGTATTTTGTCTGATTTTTAATTCAAAATGATCGAAAGAGTAAGGTTATCACAAAAAATAAAAAAATGGGGAAATCTGTCATATATTGTATATAATTTTACACTATAGAAAAACTCCTTTCAAATTTCTTATATTTTTAGTTGTTCCTGGTGTGAATTATTCCATTCTTTTAAATACCTATCTTTAGTGCAATCTCTAACCCCTCTCCCATTTGTGTAATTCATTAACCTGTCCCTCACTAGATAAATCCCCCCTCAATAAGTTAATGACCTATCCATATATGTATACATGCATTCACAAAGTAGACCTGATTTTGATGATAAGCTTGCCAAGCACCATGGTGACATAGGGGGTACACAGGAATCTCTCCTATCAGGTATGTCGAAGGACAACATTAAAATGGTAAAAAACTCAAAATAAAATAGATAAAACAATTTTCTTTCAATATTTAAGTATTATATTACATTATAATGGTATTTCCATAAAGTCATTAGATAACACTTTCTAAATAATAATACTCTACATATACACAATTTTCAAAATGTGTCATATTTAAAAGAAATAAAAGAATCATATAAATATCACTTCATATATAAAACATGTTTATAGTACTACACTATTTATACACAGTTATACAAAAAAAAGATTTATGGGCAAAAAAGTTCAAAGTTTATTCAATAGTATTTAAGCATCTTATTTGGCATAGTTATGTGGCCGAGAAAGCAATATGAACGTTAGGTTACAATAACTGGAGTAAATTACTTACTATGAGGGTATTATGTAAGCAGATATATGTCTATTAAAATACATGTATACTTGATACTGTAGATTATATATGTGAGAAATTATACACAATTCTTTGATCAAAATTCCAATAATCTTAGAATTTGTCAAATATACCCATATATGTAAAAAAAATATGTTGTTTTATACTAAGTGATCTGTATTTTTTAAACTGTAAACTTTCCTTTGCTTGAGAAATGTGAAGAATCTTATTGTATGGGTAATAGCCCATATATACGACTTTAGAGGCCATATTCAAATTCATCAGAGATTGCATGACAGCTTACCATATATAAAAGTACAATAAATAATAAGAGCTGTAATATATACAATACAGTGTTTGCATAGTGATACAGGTGTACCAATACTACAAGTAGAAGGCCGCCTGACCTAGCTCATATACATGTAATATGACCTACCTCTACAACTAATGACAAGTGCAATGATGTGGTATATGTGCTGTACTCATTAGTTGTACGTACAATTATGAATGAAATAATCAACAAGTTTAATTAGCCTGTTTCCCATTTAGGTGCCTAAGGCCTGCCCAAATTCTTTGTTTGTTACATAAACAAGATTAAAGTTAGAGTTGTTTTCACACAGTCAAAACGTCATTATTTATGTAGACCTAAAGAGCCCTCTTTTCTTTGCAGATTTGTTACGTCACAAATGTCCAACATGGTGGACTTCAACATGTTGTGTCTCTTCATAAAGTAGTAAAAGTCAGTAACGAAGAAATAGTTTGAATCAACGGAATGGTGTCTTTAATCCTAGTTTGAATCGTGGATGGCGAAAAGAGTGGACACCACAATCGGTTTTAATTTAATTTTGGATATGGCCTATTTTGAACTGTTGAACAGAAACTCAGCGATAGTAGCGAGACCTGACACTAGAACAAGACAATATTTGGTGGATACTATCTCTTCCTATGATTGCTGTTGTCAAATATCGCTTTAAAATTCACTCACAGAAGTCTCAACTTTCATTTCACTTGTGCTGCACGTCAACTTAAATATGGTACTCCAAGGCAACATTAAATTATTCGGTAACTTATCTTGAAAAAGAAACCAAAATACTAAAGACCTCAGAAAATGGTTGATAATATTAATTAAATTCCTATTAGTGTTCCAATATTGATGTGCGTCTTAAAATGAGAACACACTTTATTTATTCTTATAACATATTTTAAATTATATTGGAACATATTTTGTTGACAGCAGTACAAATCCAGTTAACAAAATGTGTCTGGCTATTTATGTTATTTACTTAAAATGGTTCTGTAGATAGTTGACATGGTTGGAGTAAAATACAACTGAAATTATATGACCACTACACAAAAACCCATATATATCCCAACAAAATGACCATGTTTTTATTCATCGATATTATTAATTAACCATCTGCAAAATTAACTCAAAGAAATTTTTTTTTTATTTCAAATTTTTACTGATGGTGAAATGAGCAATAAAATTCCCTCTATTGACACAACATATAAAAGAGTTATAAATTAGAGCATGAAATATTACACTGCGGATGGTGGTTCAACTCATTTGACAGAACCACTGGACATAAGGTCAAGCGGCTGTACATATATCATTCTTCAAAATTGATCCATAGCAGCATGTGGATTTTTTTTTGGAAGGGGGGGGGGTTACTAATCATGCCACAAATGAATCACAGCTCCTCATTGTGCTTTTAATGATACAAAACTATGAATTTCTTACAGAATCAACAGAAACAGCTTTAAATTTACTAAGACTTTCCTAATTGAGAGATTAAAAAAAAAAATTTCTTTAAAAAAAGTTATAATCGCTATTCATATATAAATCAGACCTGATAGGACTCTGGATATGAACCTCAAAAATCACCAGTTCTGGCACTTTCTAGACGTATCGGTATTGTCCTGGAGAAACTTGATGAATTCTATCATTTATTATTTGATGATTTTCCTTCAAATTAGAATATAGTAAATCATTTTACATGTGAAAATACATTTTATATTTAACAATGTTGGCTTGCTGTCTAGCTAAACTCATAATTTATATTTTGTTAGACCTTTCAACAGGAAAATCATAATGTAAAAATTATCAATATTTTCTAAAATTGTGTTTCCAATTTTAAATGTTTTTGAACTTGCATGCCAACTGCTTGCACTTTTTAAGAAACGATGAGAAAAATGAAATTGATAGTGAATTTATACCCCGGAATTTGAAATCACTCAGATGTTTGACCTGGGAGTTGTGCATAAGCCCTTTTGATGAAAAGTTGAACTCGGGTCCCCAGACACCAGTCGAAATTTGCACCTGCATTCTCCTCTCTGGCTTACTTTAATTAATTTCAACAAAGGTATACAAATATGATAAATTGCATATGTAGTTATTTTGACAATGTCTTATAAAAGGGGAGATAATTGAGTGCATATATCAATATGAAATATTGAAAATCATAAATTTATACATTTTTAATAATTATGTACTTACTATATCATCTTTTTTGACATTTTTTTTTCTATATTAAATAATTAATACACATACTCGGTATTTAAAATTGTCGCTTGAAATAGAACTGTGACTACTTCAGGGTCTGAGTAAACGACTCAACCTCATTACGACACACAGGTGAAGGGAATAATGATGCGAGACATTTGCAATTATTTCTAATAATGTTGTACTTACGTTTGCATCTTAAGCTCCTTTTATAAACTCCCCAAATAAAGTCTCCACACTTGTCACACCAAGTAGCATTTATGAGCGAACAAGGCTCAAAAAGGTGTCCGGCTCCCGGCACGTTTTCGTCATCTTCGATTTGTACTGCAGACGACGTCGTTTTGCTTGCAAGCGTGGCTTCGTTCTCGGTGGGAGGAGACGATACTGCCCCATCGTCGACGGGCCCGCTGATTTCATAAAACCTAGACCTTGGCCTCCGAGCTTTTCCTTTTGACTTCCCACGTCCAAATAATCCCCCAAATATACTTTGTTTTTCTGGAGTAGTGCTCCCACGATCAGAATAAATAATTTTCTTTTTCCTTTCGTCTACTTTGTCCACCATTTTGACTCGATTCGAATCCAAGCAGGGTCACAGAACTGCTGCATGCACATAGTTTTAAGACACCGTTTCTTAATAATTGTCACGTCTCGACATTGCATCGAAGAGCCGTGTCCATCAAAAGAAAATATACAACTTCTCTGTTGTGTGCACTTTGGTTACTTGCACACATGAGCCGAACCTCCGTCTTCGTACTGTGAGACTTCGGCCTCGATGCGCCCGACTGAAGGACAGATCACTAACTTGGTCAGTCAGTCCCCGGTGTCGGTTCTAAGCCTAGTGGTTTGTAAATCTCCACTATATCTTAGTTGAATGACAACAGCAACTCACAATACAAGTGTTCGCCACCCAGCACTGTGAACGGAATCTCCAACAGCAGGACGATGACAGGTGAAGTTTGTACAACCTTTCGTTTATCATGTTTATAATGCCGCACAACAACTTTTACAAAGAAATTGACGCAGTGTGTCAGCTGACGTTCCTTAGCCACGCCTATCTTCACGCAGCACTTTAAATATTGTTTCCAAACCACAACAAACCGAACTTCGTACGAGGAGCCATGTCTAGCAAGTCGAATATAAAAAAATACTGATAAACTGACAGAGCAACGACAAATTTATCTGAAAGAGACTTCTTTTATAATAACAGTGTCTGATATACGACTGTATCAGCCCATGACAGCGAAAAGAGCCGAGCTTACTCGGATCATGCTCCATGCTCGGATATTGACACTACGGTAGGTGGCGATATTTTCAGTTAAAGGTGTTATTTTACGTACATATTTTAAATGTACATACACTATGAGATTCACGACTTGTTGCTATCCATATCTCTTTTACGAGAATAAATTTTTATCACAAGCAACCTCTGGTATATGTCTGTATACGTAATTTCTCAAACGAACACCCACATAATATATGATATTCTTTTTACCAACGGAATGCATTACATTCAACATTAATGCTACAAATAAATTTCATTTAATCACAAACCGTATTACTACTACATTTAATAAATGTATACTATATGAAGTATGATACAAACAATCTATAGAGAAAGGAAAGTAGCAGGCCACATTGCTGGTCATCAAATACTAGTAGCCACTTCATGATCCACCCTGTCCCACTTTCGTCGTTGATGGCGTGCCTTTACTCATTTCACCCCACGAACCTTTTACAAAAATGCGAGCTTGAAATGACAATCGCATTTTCTTTAGCCGAGATCCGTCCATTATTACTTTTCACAAACTTACTATATATTTATTTTGCCATAAATATTTTATCTTGTCAGATTTAAGTGCAAGTATCAGTCTGTGTTTTTTATTGATATACTTCAGCGATTTTTTGTTATAAGTATTGCCATCGTGATTTCTTGACGATCCAGCGCTCTTGTTGCTCTAATTTGCCTTATATTGCGATCTAGCGACTCCTCAACAAGTAAAATACGTACAATGACACAAGCGGGGTTCAGTAGCACTATTTATGCAAATAATTATTTTCCATTTTCGAATTCTTGAATCCTCAAAATGGCATCACAATAAGTAAAATATTGTTAGCTTTTTTTCATTAACTGGGATGATTATGTTGTTGTCATTCTTACTAGTATTAAATGTTTGGTGCCCATTAAGGTGACAAAACGAAACGCGGAATGACACAGAAACAAACGTTAAATGCTTCTATAATCCGAGGTGGTCGTAGTAATTACTTTTGCTGCGTTGTCAAAAAGTAAATTTCTTTGCCGTTTGTATTTTTACATGACATTACACAGTGTGTCACAAATTCTATTGTCAATCAAAGTTTTAGGTTTTGTATGTCTGCTCATTTCGATTGAGTTTTTTGTTGTTAATTTTTTCAGTGTTAATAAATCATGATTGGTTGATATTAGCAAATTGGGTTTCCACTTTCTTGCACCATTTACTATTAATTTTCTTGTTTAAATCTGCAGCTTCTTTACGGAAGAGATTATTTGTATTCATTATGCAAATGTAATATCAGATCATTTGTTTTTTGATTAATATATCTAATTGGTATCTGCCGAGTTCTCTGTAAATGCCCTTTTTGGGAGTATTTTTTGAGACGCAAAGTAAATACTGGCAGTATCTTAGGTGTACATCCTCGTTGGCAGATTTGTAATTACTTTCATGTCCCCCAGATAATAGTAACCACCAATAGAAAATATACAGTTCCTTGCATTCAGTACAAGCTACGCTGCACACACACATATTTCATTCACAAGTTTTTTTTGTTTTAATTCTTGCTTTTAACATTAACGTCTATCAGTCGAACATGAAACAAGAACCATATACAGTGTGAATCTAGAATATTG